AGAAGAACAGTCCTTTTCATCCTACTTGTTACAGTTATTCCATCTTTCAATGCAATGGTATCATTAAAAGTTCAAAATTCATTGTTTAAATTTTGAACCAGCCTGGTGTGTTGACTTCATGGCTCCTATCGTACCATTTTGGGCCATAATAGGATGCCTAGGCCTGTTTTTATTTTTTATTTTTTTCGCCCGCCCGCTCCATTATTTTTCTGGAAAAATCCGTTAACCAAGAAATTAAATTGGTGTGGCCTAAGTTACAAAAAAAATTAATAAAAACTATACCAATGTCGTAGAATGCCAAAATCAAACGAAAAAAGACGAAATTGTAAAGAAATGAACTTGAAGACTAGATTATTCGCCAAACCATATTCTGTGCCATTTGCTCAACCCTCATGACCACGTAGACTTCATAATGAAAAGTAACTTTTTTTTTGCAAAACTTTTTTTTTTATTCGTACGCGCGCATCAGTTTTGGGGCTCCCGGAGGATGTCATCCATATAATCAAATCAACATGGCCTTATTATAGTTTACTCAGGTCTTTGAATATGTTAGCAGTACTGTAAATCTGTATCTGTATCTGTATAGCCGGTATAACCGCCTTTCGGCGTAACACACCAGCATGCTAAAATATTCAGGTGTATGCAATAGATTTATTTAGGCAGTGTTCACATCAACTCATATCCACTGCAAATATGCACTGCAAATATGTGTTTCCATTGTTGCTGCTGTACTGAAGAATTGTTTCAACTGTGCACTTAGAATACTAGTACCTCAAAAACCTCTTTTCACTTCAATCCCATGAACATAAAGAAATTTTCAGTATATTGTACTTACTAGTAAATCAAAGAAAATGATAATGGTGTTAATACTGTATTGACCTTTTTTGTTTCAGACATACAATTTTGCTCATCACAAGATGTAAACATTTTATGACAAAAGTAGATTGTATGTCTTTGTGTATTTGCTAAGTTCTTGTTTGTAACTGTATCTGAGCCTTTACTGCTTGTCAAATATCTGGAAAATGTATGGAGCTGGCTATGTCAAATATCACTTACACACTGGACAGGAGCTTATTTGTGTAGTAGTGTACAAAATGTACTACATGTAGTATGAAATACAATCATCGTGTTTATCAATGATATCAAGTGCAAGTGTATAAAACTTTATATCATATGATAATTTCAAGAGAGTTTCAACCCTTCTAGGTGGAATCCATTGTGATTTCTCACATTATCCAGATGAAAGGAGAAAAGTGAAATACATGCACAATGAATTCTAGAGCTTGTTACTGCTGGATTCTGTTTGTCTTGCCTTTGCATGCAGAGCTTCTGGGTTCAAATCATGACCCAAAGAAGAAAATAGCCGACTAAGTCTATGCAATAGGCCAAACCTGCTCCCATCCTCTACCGTACCAGACTATTAAACTACACTGGCAATAATCAACCTTCCATGGCCAGACTCGCCTGACCAAATTTCAAATTTAATCTCCTTTTTGCGTTTTCCATTCCCGTAGGAAGGCCTGGTGGATGTTGTTTTGAGGGAGAGGATGAAAAAGGCAAAAGTGGGGTCAGGCTACTGAACCGGTTTCAGTGTAATGGAAGTAATTTGGAGACATTCCGCTAGAGGGCGCAGCTGTACCGGGGTGAAGATTCTGTTTTGCACGAACTGCTGTGTGATACCACCCGCATGATAAATTACTTCCGGGTCAAAAAGCTATTTGCTTTCGTAGTTGTTTTCCTTTTAAACCTGTTAAAAACGCGGCTTTTATTACAGATATAGACGCACGACAGTCAATGTATTTTACTTTCGTACAATTTCCGTGAAACTGTGTGTTTATGATACAAAATCATATCGTCACAAGGATCCGGAGAGACGGCGGTTCGAAAATCTACTCCAAAATGGCCGACAGAAGTGACGTGCAAAGTCAAACGGGGCTGCAGCGATTAAACTCAGAGGACAGGTAACGTTTCACAAGTTGTTACGTCAACAAATTATTTTGATTTGGTTGTTTGTCTACAACGTTGTGTGTGTCTCCGTACGTACGTCATTAGTTGACAGATGAAATATCGTTGTCATACGTCGAGGAGGTCACAGATCTAGATATGAAAACTGATAAGAGTTTAGAGCTATATTTTGGGTACCCGAAACGAGGTTTTGCACGACGTGAGGTTACTCAACTTACGTCGGTTTGCACGCGTGCCGATACTCATTTCCGCGACTGTTTGCACGCGTGCCGATCCTCGCGCTGTGCTGAGTTCGCACGCGTGTATGTCCTCGCGCTGCGCTGACCTTGCACGCCCGTGGAATTCCTCACTACAAACCGAGTAAACACGCATGTTGTGGGCGCAAAAGTGGAGGGCAGAACGCCGTAATGCCGGACCGAGCCTGACTAACTACCGTTGCGTGCATTTCCTCGAGGCGTCCCAAATTTACTCGCATGTGTATTTCCTCACTAAGAGCCGGGTAGACACGCATAATCGCGACCGTATAATGTGCGACCGAAGGCCGGGCATTTTTACTACATAAGTGCACGGAGCGACCTGTCGGCTAAATCAATTCAAAGACGTGCTTAAAACAAACGAGGTTTCTGTTCCGTGGGCACGCACAACGAGCGGGAGAACAGCGATGTATTTTTTTTTTAATGGACCATTTTGATAAGACATATCACCGAATCGACGGGTAAGTGTGTACAACGGTGCGTCTGTCTTTGAGATCGTCGGCACGGGACGCTCGTACATTTGCTCACTACAACGGTGTTTTGCACGTATCATTGTGCTTTTCCTCGCTCGGTACTGCGCTACCACTTAGATTTACACAGACTTGCGTTTACTGACGGCAAGAGATTTGTTACGGTTTTAGGAGCCGGTTTTTAGCGTCTTTTCGTGTTTTGTTTTTCTTTTACGTCTTTTACAATGCACTTTTCTTGATGGTCGACGTTTCCACAAATCAAAAAGTATACAAAACGAAAAAGGAAAACAAGGAGGAGAAGACGTACGAAAAGACGCTAAAAACTTTTCCAAACATCACGACCTATGCCAAACATAGTAACCGAGTGACCATTTATAGGACAAAATCCATACCTTTGTTCCATGATAAATCGGCCACTAGTCAGGCTCCAAGCTTGTAAATCCGAGTTCCGAGTACTCGCTGGCGTTGTTACTGGCGTTGTGACTTGAAGTGACGCGGGCTATTTACATATGCGCACATGCGCACTGCTTACGCATGCGTAACCAAGGTAACTAATGCAATGCATTCTGGGCTTGGGTGATTCTATTGCTTTTTAGGGGTGTCAGATACCATTTTTACGAATCTATCACATCATACAATGCCTAATATAATAATAATAAAAATCACACTGAATACACACATGTACTTTTTCATTTTTTGGCTGTGGGAACGATTAGAATTTGCAAAAATCCATAAATAATTTACAGTCGGTACCTCTACCTCCGTAACAGTGGAGTTTTCCGATGACGCCAATTGACCTCTGTCTGCGGCTGTCTCAAAGCAAAACCTGCATTTTTGACACGCTCGTCAACAGATTTTTCACTCATCCGTTGTAGGAATGTACGAACTGAAACAAACTTTGTGAGATTATCGATATCAACACAAAAACGTTGCCCATTCTTGTGGTCATTTTTAGGCCCGTGCTCCATGCATAACGCCGCAACAAGCATTTTTCAAACTACAAAATCTAAATCGTTACTCAAGCAAATGCTCTTACCGGTTCAGAATATATCATTGGAACAACATGCAAAATAGAGAAAAGTCATTCTTACAATAGTTGGTAATTTATAAACCTATTCCCCTTTTTTGTGACATCAATGGAAATATGATTGCATACAAATGTGACACAATTTTGCTACATACATTACCACTTCACTGCGACAAGTCACAAATGTGATAGAAAGTACAGCAATTTTTTTTCAATTGACTTAGAATGCCCCAATAACTTACACGTTATCAGTCATTTTAGTTTTCCTTGTTGGAAGCACAATTTCGCTACATACATCTAACATTACCGCTTCACTGACACAAGTAAAAATATCATTGGAACAACATGAAAAATACAGAAAAGTCATTCTTACAATGTTTGGCAATTTTAAACCTATTCCCATTTTTGGGACATCAATGGAAATATGATTTCATACAAATGTGACACAATTTTGCTACATGCATTACCACTTCACTGCGACAAGTCACAAATGTGATAGAAAGTACAGCAAAATTGTTTCTCAAGAGTGTCTCAAGCAAGGATATCCCAAAGACGTCTGGCGTATCTTGTGTATGCTAGGAAACTACGCATCTTGAAGCATATATATGATCCTACTTGAATACCTGATCTTTGTGAAAATATACGACTTTTTCTGATTTAGTTTTGCAGAAAAATGGGGACAAAAAATAATACTGGCTTCCGGTCCTGATCGTGGACAAAAGAAAATCTAAAAAGCACTGTCAAATGTTCTGTATATTCCACAGACACCAATGTCCTTGGATTTAAATCTGCTTTGTGAGCCAAAATACTGCTTATTTGATCGCTCATATACCAGCATAGAAGAAATAAAACGATAGGAACAAATTAAATATGGCGGGTTTCCCGACCCACACTATAACGTCATGCATAGCGTTCCGATGACACGAAAAGATAAATTAGTCACTACGTCCGATCCGTACAACGTGGAGTTCATTTCAACGTTACTTTTTTTTCCAGTTGCGTTCGCATTGAAGTAAGCGGTTTTGTTCAATGCAAGGACACTTGCTTTACCAAGGATGATGGCTATATGAACACAAGTTCTGATGATCGTTCTGACACGATCTTACAGCTAAGGTAACAAAGGTAAAACGAGTAAGATACCAGCTGTTTGCGTAGTATTTCGTTCTGTTTCATTAAATTTCGTTAAGTTTCGTTAAGTTCCGTTTTGTTGTCGAGGGTTTGGTTTCGTTTTGTTTTGTTGGAAAAATAGCAATGGAATACTGTTTACTAACTGTTGTCTTGTTAGTCCTTCATATACAACTTACTACAACTAACAACTAACAGAAAATGACCATCGGGTATCCAGTCACATTTTTCAGTCACAGTATACTTATAATGTAGAACACAACATGGTACTGTTAAAACAAAGCAACATCACATATACACAAGACTATATATATTTTCGGAAAAACATACAAAACACTACTACATTATCTAACTACATGAACTGCACAAAAGTACAACCGAATTGGTACAAAAAGTTTAGGTACGAAAGTTTAAACTACTGAATATGTACAAAAAGTTGAAACACGAAAATTTAAACTAGTAACAGAAAATGACCATTGGAAATCCAGTCACCGTGATTTTTCAGTCACAATATCAGTCACAATACATTTACAATGTAGAACACAGCATGGTACTTTTAAAACAAGTAAGCATCACAAGACTTTGTATTTTCGAAAAAAAAGAACATACAAACAGTACA